TACTACTACTACTACTACTACTACTACTACCTACTAGCCAAGTACTAGTACTACCAAGGCTAGTAGATACCAAGAAACGTGCTCGATTAAAACCTACAATTTCCTACCTCTTCAAGTAGCGACATCTTGGCCTTGCCAGCACTTACGACTTCTTCTTGGAGATCTCTCAGTTTCGCTGCAATGCTCATCCTCAGCGTATCGGCCACCGAATAGGCGACAGCCGATTGCGTACCAGCATCGAGATCAGAATGTTGGGATGACCACCAGCATGAATCTCGGAAGATACCTAGTATGCCAGGAAAGGATCAAAGCCGGACTGAACTGGGAAACATATTTCCCTTGTAGAGCTTGATCGTTATAAGATTGTGAACAATTCATCAACGGTGACAACAGCTCATTAGCGTTTCCTGTACATCGAATGTATGCTATTCCAAGATGAGTTGCAGAAGCGCCTCAAAAGTCATTCACCAATAACAGAGGTGAATAAGTTCAGCTTCGCCTTCTGGATGCAAGGTCGTATACGCTTTTACTATCTTGCTATTCTCAATAACGACGTGAGAGCCACTGCTAACACTCCTAGGTCGCGGTGAATGAAAATCGAGACTCATAAAAATGTCATTACTATCGTTGCCATCCTTGAATGTAGAGGTGAACTCTCGACCATCTTGAGAGGTAGCATCACTATCTTCCCCATGGGCCTCCTCAGTGGCAGAGTGGGTGGTGGTTTGGGTACAGTCGGGGATGGCAACAGAACCGTGCTTGAAGCGTCGTCTTCGGGCGCGGGACGATAAGGACGGCGTCCTTGCAGAACGATAGGTAAGTACCTGACAGTTTCACTAATTATCATATGGTGAAAATAGCCAAGTGGATAATGTTCAGGATTCACATACATAAGACGTGGGATCGATTCTCGGGGTAGACATATTTCAAATGTTGGATTTCGAATCTGGAGTTCTGACCAAGTACCAGTGCATATGGTCATCTTGCAAACTTACATTTATCACTGACATCATTCCTCATAAACTCCTACTAATACCGCCACTACTACTACGACTATTACTGGCTGATTCAAGTCCATCATCCTGGGAGAGAGCCTGGATCTCCCTGAGGATCTCCACGAGCTCGTCGAGACATGAGGTGTTGCCGAATACTCCACGACCGGCGGCATTGGGATCAAAATTGTCAACGAGTAACGAGGGTTGCGCACTTGCGTTGAGGAAATGCAAGATCGCAAGATGCAATCTTGAACCGCTTTGAGGCGTGTCCAAACACTGTCACTAAACTTTGTGTCCTAGATCACTAAATTTTAGCGCGCGCCATTATAATCGATATAAAGCGCAACTTCGTTTCAACGGCGGGAATCGTTTCAGGATAGATTCGTTAGGTCGTCAAACCCAACCCAGGTACCCTGTTCGTTTCAATGCATACAGCTGGTCGGTCACCCAAGCAAACTTCCATCACAGACTACTTCAAGGTTTGGAGCCGGAGAAACCCATCAAGCAGTACCTGTGAACTAAGAATTGTAGATGACGAAGCTGGTTATCCAACCTTATCTGTTTACGGGTGGATGAGCAATGAAGTTTGGAGAATTCTCAAGTGAGCAACCTGGAGTAAAAGCAGTGTCATGGTTCTCCTGTCAGTTTTGAAACTCCATTGCTAAGACCAATATTCGAGCGGAATACCAGCAGAGACTACTGGATAATTAACACCAGACCAACAGGGGAGAAAAAGCCGATGCATGAGATCGTGTCTGAGTTATCCCGTATAACGGGAGTAACGGCAGTGATCGAATGAGAAGAGCTTTAATTTTGTCCAGCATGTGCCTGATACCATGGTGAAGTTGATACTATACCGTGCATGTGTGGTCGAACCATCACAGCTTGAATTTTGTTAATAACAGGCTCGTTGTATGTCGCGTTTGCTTCCGAAGCAATGCTTTGCAACAGTTGCTTCTTCTCGTACTATGAGCGGTTCCAATACGGGAGATCAAGAAGTCAGGAGAGCATCTTCACAACCCGTCATCTACAGCGAGAGAACACGCTCAGCCAACCGCATCCCACTCCGGAGGCCGAGACGCTTTAGAGAGAGCTACGAGAGACTGACAGCGAAGAAGCAACCTGCTGGAGAAGTCTTGAGAGAGCAGTTGGAGAAACCGAATGACTTGAATGATGAGGCCAAGGTATTGCAGGTGGTCGGCTACCCAAGCAGTGAAGTCTTAATTTCAGATCCCAGAACTTGGCAGCGAGAGCCAAAGCGTGAGTCTCTTTGACGTTGTTTAAGTATAATTCGAGCGAAGTTGAGTTTTGCATTTCAGGCAGGAATGGTCGGCGAATCGACGAAGTCTCCGGAAGTGTCGTTTCACCATATTAAATTCGTGGATATCTCAGGGATGCCGCCTCGACCCAGGAGTACTTTGCCACTTGGAGTGAGCTTTAGCATCTGCAGTGGTTTAGCTAAACCATTGACTCTTCTCTTTTAGACGTTGGTCTCAGAGGAGGTGATGAAGTCAGACAGTGAACAACCGGATCCCAGCCGGCCATCATTTTTCGAGAGTCCCGTGAATGCACCAGGGTGTTCGCTCGAGGGCATAAATTATTTACTGGAGGGGTCCATGTATAACGTTGTTCCCGCAATGGAGACCGAGCGAGAGGAAATGTCCATGGATGGCGAAGACGATGAACCAGTAGAGAAGAGAAGGAGAGGCCCTGGAGCACGCTGGACGAGAACACACGTTTTTAAGGACGAAATCGAAGCCGAGGAGTGGCTTGGAGCTCTACAAGAGCAACAAACCTACGCTGTGCTAAGGTAGGACCTCCACTGTGAAACTGAGCTGAAACTGAGCTAGTCTATCTCAGAACTAACGTGACACAGGCCGGGTCGAAGAGGTATATGTATTGCAGTTCCTGTGGTCACCCAACTCCCAAGCGGCGGAGCGGGGGATCTGATGGGCCAGCGCAAGCTCCCGTGATGATTATGCTACATTTTTTGGCACACAGCTCAGCTGTCCATGCCTATTCCAACGGAGAGGCGCACTACCATACAGAAAGGCAGCCTCCGGGAATACAGCCCGCGCTGAAAGAACTGGTCGACCAGCAACTAGATCAGGGAGTGTACAGCATTCCAGTTATAATGAAAGCATTGAGGGATGTTACTGGAACGCGGAACGACGCCGACCTCCCAGGGTACCGTCAGGTAAGACGCCGACCAAATCTGTACCAACTTCCACTCGAAGTTGTTATTTAGGTGGAGGGTTATGTTCGCAATCGGAAAATCGCCTTGCGGGGTGGAAGCGTGGTACCAACCAACGGGGACCTCAAGACTCTGGCTTGTCGTTACTCGGAAATTCCGCTGGATAGTGAAGATGCCGGGTTCGTGGTATGCTTAACATGAGGCTTAACTACACAACTT